CTTTTTGAGTAATCGAACTGGGTTATGCACTCCCACTCCTATACTTCCTCCATTGCAAAAATGGATTATTGTAGGTGGCACGAACAATCGCACCAAACTGCCCCCTCCAACTGCACGAGGGTAACTAGTTTTGCCCGAAGATAGTGAAATTAGTGCACTACAAGAAGAAAACTTCTCGGGGGCAGTAAATTGAGCCCAATTATGCTTGTAAACATACGAATGCTCGCTCTCTGCGTCTCTCACGACGAGTCCAAGAGTACGCGATTTAGACTCGATGTTTTCTCGGGCAGTCTTTCCAGAATCTTCCAGCCGTCCATTTGGGTCAACAATGGGTACGATAACCCTGCAGGGTACGATTCCCCTGGGTACCAATACTATCTGCCTGTGGTACTACATAGCAGTACTGCGGAACCGCTCGAGATGCTCGTTCTTTGTTCGCGAAGAAGTGCCCCATGAGGTCGACACCCGTTGGTCAATCACCAGTACACAAGCTGTGCTCGTGAATAATTAATCACTAACCGGGGACGGGTATGTGTGTACCCACAAAGAACGCACATCACGTACGTCTGAACTCTTCACCGAGGTCCAGAAGTATCGATCGCTCCCCGGACCAACAAGGTTACCCTTTTGACACCTCCACATGCACCACGTTCTTCGATCGTCGTCTATCGATCCGCAGACGTATTCCGCTGTCCGTCCGTTAAAGCCCCCGGGGGAGATGATTGAGTTCGAGCGCGACTCTAGAATCCTTGTGCACGTCTCTTAAACACGCTCTCTCCCTGCGCCGACACACATCGCCGCTGCGCCGTAAGGATCCGCTTTTCAATGAAAAAGCCACGCAACACACGGACAGCCAACGCGTCGACGCGCGTCGATTGTGTGAGAGACGCAGAGATTGCAGACACGCGACGAGAAATTGCAGACCTGACGGAGTGTTCCAGCTCACACTAGAGCAGAGATCAAAGCAGGCAACGGCAAATCTCCGGCATAAATCCTGGAGCTTGAGTCACGCCATCGTGAAACCCGTTCATGAACACGCCAAGGTTTCGTCGTGGGACGCAATTGGACAACAACATGTGAGCCCTCATTTTGTAAACAACAGCTGAATGCTATCGGATGACCGCGACCCTGATCATTGAACAACTAGCAACATCAAACAGAACAACGATAACCTGCCCCGACCCGTTGGAAGATCAGGCGATAAGGACACCTCACACAAAAAGAAATTATTTTTCTCCTTTTTTCCCAACACTTGTTTACCAACCAAGTCACATTATTTTGGTTCTGAAATCAACACTGGGGTGCTATACAAGTAGGGTGGGCACGCCGCATTTTTTGGGCAGAAAGTGTATGTAAGTGGTACTGCTAGGCAGTCACGACCGACAGGCGGGAGAAAGTTGAGCTTGCCCACCCTACTTGTATTGAGCCCTACACTGGTCCCGTGACGATCATTTCAAACAGGGTCAGCCACCCCATCGTACAATTTAAGAGCCGTTTCAATCGATCGATCAATAACCACACGGTTTTCTTCAAACACCAACGCCAGCCATCACCATTCGGCCGCCCCGTCAAACACACCACACAACGTGTATAGAAGATGTTTACTTCTCTTCTAGACGATCGATAAAGTATCGCTTTAAAATATATCACATTAAAAACAAAACAAATACACAGAAGGAAATCAATACAATGGCGACCAGACTTAGTGGGGAAAACAAAAGAAGAAGACAAATAACAATGAAATTACTTGATGGACTCCCTTTTTGTTTCACACGACTGTCCGGAACTCGGGGAAAGACACATTTAGGATTTTTAGCCCATTTTATTCGTTTTTTTGTACATTTTAACAAACACGTGTTTTACTATTTTTATGTACATTTTCTCTTTTCTCAGAACGCAACCAACTACACTGTACTATCTTCTACATCAAAAAAGACTCAAAGATAAACAGATTGCTGGGTCCGGATGCTGGAGAGAATTACCTACAGAGAATAAATCATGAAGCAAAAAAACAAATACACACAATGATACTCGGTTTAGGAAGAAGATCCGGGACCAGCCCAGCTGAGCAATACATGAGAAAGCTTAACATAGCAAGGGCCAGGGATTCTACTCACGCATGGGCGCATAGGACATAGTCGTCGTACACACTTCCCACACAGGACCACAGGTTTCAAATGACCCTACACAAATGTCTAAACCCACGAATAGTAAATCCACCCAAACGACACAATAATCACAGCGAGCACCATGTGGGTGTGAGATGGTGATCGTGTCCTGGCCTTCAAGGCTCCCATTGATCCACCGTATGATCGGGAGTATCACGGCACGCACAACGATCACCATCCACCTGACCGAGTTCTGGTGTGCCTCTACGGGGAAATTGGTGTGAAAGAAGGGAATCTTCTGACGACGACGTTTCAGTCATCGTGGATCGTACGTCTACCGCCTAGGCGCCTCCATTGGTCCACCGTATGACCGGAAGTTTAAGCACGGCTCACGTACGATCCACAGATGTACTTACGTCTATCGCAGCATTACAAACACTAGCGATAGAAATTATAGATGTAAAAGAGGTAAATACAAAAAAGAAACCGCTTAACAACAAAATCCCCTAACAATAACAACGGTGATACCTTAAAGGACCCGATACGAAATTCCTGAAGCGAATCGATGACGACGACGACGACGACGTGGGACACGTCGACAGTTGACGATCGATCGATCGATACGCATGAAGAATACACAGTCAGAATAGTGAGGCAGTAGAGTGTGTGTGACGACGACGATGGCGATGAATTGGACGTGGTGACATCGGAAGGATCAGCGAACAGCGGCGCCCGTGACAGAAAGCGGCACGACGGTTTGTCTTCTGCGAACGCGACAGCAGAATGAACACGTGTGTGGAGAAGAACGGCTCAGCAGAATCGAAGAATATGGTAGTGGAATATGTACAGACAGTGGAGGTATGTGCCCATATCGGAATAAGGCTACTCGACGAAAATGAGGCACACAACACGCAGTGCACCCCCGTAGCGCAGCTCCTACAGCTCCACCCGAAGGGAGCCTGACTGGTAGGACATCATCAGAAGTGGGTTGACGACGAACGACACGAACTGCTGCTACTGTGGGGCTGCTGTGATGCAATTGGGGGCTCAACGCCTGCGCCCCAAATGGGCGCTGGGCGTGGCCTACGACAACACCGAAACGAGACGGCGCTGGCGGCTCTGTCCTCCCGGCGGCTTTTATACCACAAGGGGCGGGGCCGCCGCCACGCGCAACCGCTCGCACCACCCCTCGCCGTAGCGCCACCCGACTTGTACCGTCCGTTCACTTCACCCACAACCCCAAACGCCCACCACTTTGATCTCCGATGCTTATCACTGATCGACGATCACCGCCACAGTTGCATCAACCGTTTTTACCCAGGTAATCCACGTGAATTTTGGAATGTTTTCAGAGAATGTTTCGAAATTTGGAGCTATTTACCCAGCTGCGGGCTATGTTTGGCGGCCGCTTTTCGTAATCCGCGATGATTCAACGTTCCTGAATAGGATCCTAGTCATAATAGGCGAAATTAATCCCAACGCGATCTGAGTCATCTGAAACGCGCGTGCATGTAATGACCGACATGTGTTTTTTAGCGTACGTTGCTTCTAAAATGGTATTTTCCATTTTGTTTCTGTCATAGTTTTGTTTTGCTGTATGTGACGATCAGCACAACAATCATGAAACTTGGAAATTCCTCGCAGCCAAAAGCGAAACCAGCAAATTTGGTTGTGGTCCTTGGGTTTTCAGGATACGGTACTTTTCAGACTGTGCACTCTAAAATTACCATCACGGTCTTGCTGATCCAATTTACGGCAAGGTCGTAGTAATCAATCAATCACAATAACTTGTTGTAATATTGGGTACTTTGTTCTGTAGTGATTCGTTCCTAATAGTGCTTATTACGTAATTGGTCTGCTGTCATTGTCTTCGTTATCTATACGTCATCGCGAACTGTTTCCGTCATGTCGGTGAAGCGCCAGTCCACCCACGGTTTCGCAAACGATATGGAAGTTGTGTTGTTTCGAAACTGTCGTGATGGACATACGAAAATTCCTATCGCATTCTTCTTGTCGATCAGGAAATGAGAACGTGGGTGAGAATCGCGGAAAGCTTTTACAGATGATG